AGCATGCCTCCAAATAAATATGATGAATTATGGCTTTGTCATTCTTGAGAAGAAGATTGTTAACTGGTTAAAGAATTTTCCTATATATTTCTATGTTTTAACTTTGGTCAGCCATTTTGGCCCCACCCTACCCTCGGGGGTCATGATTTGAACAAACTTAAATCTACACTACCTGAGCAAGCTTCCATATAAATATGATGAATTATGGCTTTGTCATTCTTGAGAAGAAGATTTTTAAAGAATTTTCCTATATATTTCTATGTAAAACTTTAGTCGGCCATTTTGGCCCCGCCCTACCCCCTGGGGTCATGATTGAACAAACTTGAATCTACACTACCTGAGCATGCTTCCATATAAATATGATGAATTATGGCTTTGTCATTCTTGAGAAGAAGATTGTTAAAGAATTTTCCTATATATTTCTATGTAAAACTTTGGTCAGCCATTTTGGCCCCACCCTACCCTCGGGGGTCATGATTTGAACAAACTTGAATCTACACTACCTGAGCAAGCTTCCATATAAAAATGATGAATAATGGCTTTGTCATTCTTGAGAAGAAGATTTTTAAAGAATTTTCCTATATATTTCTATGTAAAACTTTGGTCGGCCATTTTGGCCCCGCCCTACCCCAGGGGTCATGATTTGAACAAATATGAATCTACAATACCTGAGCATGCTTCCATATAAATATGATGAATTATGGCTTTGTCATTCTTGAGAAGAAGATTTTTAAAGAATTTTCCTATATATTTCTATGTAAAACTTTGGTCGGCCATTTTGGCCCCGCCCTACCCCCGGGGGTCATGATTTGAACAAACTTGAATCTACACTACCTGAGCATGCCTCCAAATAAATATGATGAATTATGGCTTTGTCATTCTTGAGAAGAAGATTGTTAACTGGTTAAAGAATTTTCCTATATACATGTATTTCTATGTAAAACTTTGGTCAGCCATTTTGGCCCCACCCTACCCTCGGGGGTCATGATTTGAACAAACTTGAATATACACTACCTGAGCAAGCTTCCATATAAATATGATGAATTATGGCTTTGTCATTCTTGAGAAGAAGATTTTTAAAGAATTTTCCTATATATTTCTATGTAAAACTTTAGTCGGCCATTTTGGCCCCGCCCTACCCCCTGGGGTCATGATTTGAACAAACTTGAATCTACACTACCTGAGCATGCTTCACTATAAATATGATGAATTATGGCTTTGTCATTCTTGAGAAAAAGATTTTTAAAGAATTTTCCAATATATTTCTATGTAAAACTTTGGTCAGCCATTTTGGCCTCGCCCTACCCCCGGGGGTCATGATTTGAAGAAACATGAATCTACACTACCTGAGCATGCTTCCATATAAATATGATGAATTATGGCTTTGTCATTCTTCTGGGATTTATCAGTGCCTTTTTCCCAATTGCAGAACAATGCTGTTTTTTTTTAAATATCCTTTAAAAAACACAAAGTAAATATGTTAGATTGTCTGTATTTTCCTCAATTTAACTCATTTAGCAAAGCTACAGTTGTAACACATGTTTAAAAAAATCGCCAACTTTTAATCCGAATTTCCTCAGTTTTTTTTCTGAAGTAGTGATATTGTGTATTTCTATAGGTTTATTAACTCATTTTCACTTGCTCAATTGATCTATGAGTGAATGGTAAGAACTGCAGGCATTCTTTCAGATGGAAAAAAAATTTCAATGCATATTTCAATTCTTAGAAAATGTGTATGTAATTTTAATTTCTTGCAAGAGGTTTATTATATTTCCCCTGATCTCACATGACCTAAATTGGAATTTCATACACAAACATACTACCCTATGTTGTATAAAATGAATACTCACTGAAGTCAAATTTACATCTATTAGTCTATTTTTCATAATTGATCTTGTATGATGAAGTTGGATCATATTTAATTGTCTGTTAATTGGTAGCCCAAATTACAACTGTAAATAAATTGAACCTGAATAGTTCATACATGTTTTAAGCAACATATTTATTTTTCCCAATTTCATCAAAAAGCCGATAACTTTTTCCCAATTTCCAAAAAATGGCGTTTCCCAAAATAGGCTGATAAATCCCTGTTCTTGAGAAGAAGATTTTTAAAGAATTTTTCTATATATTTCTATGTAAAACTTTGGTTGGCCATTTTGGCCTCGCCCTACCCCCGTGGGTCATGATTTGAACAAACTTTAATCTACACTACCTGAGGATGTTTCCCCATAAGTTTCATCTTTCCTGGCATAGTGGTTCTTGAGAAGAAGATTTTTAAAATATACCACCAAATTTTCATTAATTCCCAATTATCTCCCCTTGAATGAGGTCGTGGCCCTTCATTTGAACAAACTTTAATCCCCTTCACCCCAGGATACTTTGTGGCAAGTTTGGTCGAAATTGGCCCAGCGGTCTTTGAGAAGAAGTCGAAAATGTGAAAAGTTTACAGACAGACGGACAGACGGACAGCTAGACAGACAGACGGACGCCAGACAAAATGTGATCAGAAAAGCTCACTTGAGCTTTCAGCTCAGGTGAGCTAAAAATTATAGTATTTCAATGTAAACACTATTTTGATTAATTATGTGATATACTCAGATACTATCTCATGTCTTCCAAATGTTCTAAAATAAATATGCATGCACACATTTATAAACATTTAGGTAAGTTTTTTTTTCCTTCTGCTTCATGGACATATGAAGGAAAACTGTCCAAAAACAAAAACAAAAATTTCTTGACGGTAAATTATGGAAAACATTGTTAATATAATCAAGGGGACTTGATTTACTTGTGTATTGTCCAACAAAGTGATTGAAACTTAATTTATAATTTACTTGTGTATTGTCCAACAAAGTGATTGACTTGATTCCGGCCAGAACAATGTTCTTAGTTATCTCCGCGCCGAGTCCCTTCAGGCCAATCAGAAGAACTTTCGCAGCACGTAACCTGTAAAGTAATAAACGGATAATGAACAAATACATGTAGATGATGCATGAAATGTTTACGTTCACGAACTGAGGAAATTCGAGAAAGCAGAAACTACCTGCGCTGTGCGTCCAATCCCCAGAGACGAATCTGTCTGTCATACAATGCTGCTTCATCTTCTGTGATGTTCATTTCCTCACCCATTATTTTAGTTTGTTAAGCTATTGAAGGCTACTGTTAAAATGAAAATATAAGTTTCAATTTTTGCGGGGAAATAAATTTCGGGGCAACGAAACTTGATAACTCGAACTAGGAATGATTCGCCCATATAAATGCTAAAAATTTTTTTATCCATGCTCGTTCTACATGTCACAAGACTTTATTCATATTAAACTTAACAACAGGGTAATCATGAAATTTTGATAGACATTTCTTAGAAATGTTATGGATTATTTTCTTTCTTTTTTTTTAATTTATATTGGAGGAGAGGGGGGGGGGGGTACTCTACCTATCCCACCAGGAGAATAATAATACTTTCATTTGATCATTTTCAAATTAACTGTAACGTTTATATACTTATTTATGATTTTGGATATTTGATGTGCATGGAACATTTCCTATCTACACCCTCAATCAATTAATCAATCAATCAATCCTTTTTTTATAGGGTCACAAGTTACGTTCTTTTTTTTATTATTACATATAGTGTACATGTTTGATATATATGTATATGTTAGTATAAGATCGAGACCCCCCCAGTTTTTCTACGGGTCTGAAAAGTGTTGTATGGTGCAAAACAACCTTACTAGGAATCTACGCAGACCCCTTTCTTATCCCTAACTGATCGAAGGGAATGACACTATAAAATGTTCACCTGTGTATTTTATGGCCGACTACATATATAATATTTTACGTCATTAATTGTGTAAATGGAGACAATATTTATAGTTGACATTTATAGCACAACTGTCGCCCTACAAAAAATAAATAAATAAATAATTGAAAACTTCCAATTCATTATGAAAATGATAGAAGCAATACATACCATATGAAGAAACTTACCATCCTACATGTATGTTGGATACAGCGACATTAAAAAAATAAACAAATTGATAGTATATTTCAGTTTATTATCAAAAAACAATTTTTTTGCACCCTAAATTGTATAAATCAGCATAATTATTCATATTCTCTCATATTCATACTCTCTCTCTCCCTATCTCTCCTCTCTTTCTTTCTTTCATAAATTAATGGTCATTCAAATTTAAATAATTAAAGGCTCACAAATACTATATGGTTTGCATGTACATGCACCAAAAACCAAACAATTAGACTATTCACAACAAAAATACATGCACGCACCATTCTTCCTTGACATATTTTGATCTCGAGCTCTCAGTAGTTTGGAAATTTTCTTTTTCGGTGTAAAAATATTTTCACTCAGTTTTATTCTCGTAAAATTACAAAAAGTCCATAAAGAGATAAATCAAATTGAATGGAAGTTAATTACTCCTGAAATTCATTTTGAAAGGTGAGATCCCACGCGATGCCCGTAAGAAGACTTGGTTGCACCGGCCTGTGGTTGCTGCTGGAATTGTTGCGTATTAGGTATTTGATTTTGGTTCGGTTGCTGTTGGAATATTTGTTGCTGTTGTTGCGCCATTTGAGCTTGTTGTTGCTGGTACTGTTGGAATTGCTGGAACTGCTGGAATTGCGCGGCCTGCATCTGAGCCATTTGTTGCTGTTGCATAGCAACCTGTTGCTGATACTGGTGGAAGTCTCGTTTTCTGGCGTTCATGTATTCCGGGTAAGATATGTAGCCATCTCTGTTAACATCGTCCGTTACCAAGACTCGGTCGATAATATCTGTAAAATTGAACGTCATTACTTCAAGTTAATTATCGGAAAAATTAATTAATGAGTACTAACGAGAAGCTGCTGCATGGGAAAACACAGCACTGGTGGTTTTTTATCACGGGGAAAGGACTAAAGGACTCAAATGGATTAAGGGGCGGAGAATTCAATTTCTAGCTAAAAGACAAGACGTAAAGGGCACCCTAACAGGAACTTGTTTCGTATATACGGGGCACCCCTATATATACTTATTTTTACCCCGTATAAGAAACAAAAGCCTGTGCCCCCCCTCCCCAACACACCAGTATTGATCCCGTATATTTTCCTTGATGTTACTGACCGTTGCATTACGTCATGTACCTGTGAAATGCTTGAGGGCCCCCTTCTGTCTCTCCTCCTCCAATGCCGCCATCTGTTCCGGTGTTTTACCCATTTTCTCCTGAGGTTGGAGTTTAAACATGTACCCCATGTGATGTAAAGCCGCCATGATCTCCAGCCCGTCCAGTTTTGTGTCGTTGTTCGTGTGGTGTAACCTGTCAGTAGGGAAAAAAAAGCAAGTCCTGGATGTTATTATTACCTGGGTTAAATCTTTGAATGAATTTCATGGAGATAACGAACAGTGATCAAACTCAAGAGACCTTAAACAATACAAATCAGGGGCAGAGAAAACACGGACCTCCGAAACATCAGGGATCAGGTGCCATGGAGGAGTGAGCATCCCCTGCCGACGAGCACGAGTCACACCCCGTAATATTATGGTTCATTCTACATTTTATCGGGATGCTTGCATATTTGACCAATTCTAGTCATTTTGTATCAAATACCATACAAATTAAAACCTTTGATACCTCTGGTTTTGCCTCCATTGAAGTCTAGTATTTGTATTTGGCTTAGGTGAGCTTTCAAAGAATTAAGCCATGATTGCAGTTTTATTTGTCCTTGACAATTATTTCATAACATTTAAAGATTGTATCAACAGTATGAGTCTGAGCCTCATCTGAATGTTAGAAGACGGACGTTTAATTTCACCAGTAACTCGTGAACAAACAAAAGCTGTTCTTCCCTGACTGTAGTCATGAATAATTCATATTAAGTTCTTCTTTTGTTTGCTTTCATAAAATACAGCATAAAATACATAAAATACATTGCATGTTTAATATTTTATTGACAATATCAACTGACAAAATGAGATGAATTACAATACAGACTGCATATTCCATGATAATGCCCTATCACATGGCACCAGGGTCAGGATGAACTCGGGTTCAGAGGTCAAGGTGAGGAAATTTTGTCCACTAGGCCGCTGCCCTCTATCCCGTTGCAGAAGAAGAAATTATCGTGAGGCTGGTCCTTCAGAGATACAGCCTGTAAATATATAAAACAAACATACGAGGGCTGTTCAATAAATAATGTTCTTGGTGCTCCGAAAGAAGCAAAGGTCGCTTTTCTATGATTTAGTCTGAATGATTTAACTTAATATTCTCTTTTAACTAAACACATGTCCGTAAATTTTTTATCTGATTGTCTTTAGAACTCGTTTTTGCGCATGACTCTTAGTATACTGTAAAATGGCAGATCTTATGATTTCCTGGACTCGTTTCTTCCTTCTGCAGGCACGTAGCATCGATTTTGAAAGGGGGGGGGGCAAGCCAGAGAAATTTTCTTTTTTACTTACCTGAAAAAGTTGACAAGCAAAAAAAAAAAAAAAAACAAGTTGCCCAAACTCGAAAATCCTATTTCGTGGGGGGTGGTGTTTGGGGGGGGGGGGGGATTGAGGCAAATTTTCTTATCATTGCCAATTCCTTTCCGTAGCCATTTTTTGGACTTACAATACTATATTTCCTTCATGTTACCTTACTTTAGTATACAGTGGGGGACCAACCAGCCTTACAGTGAACATTTTCAATAGTAAAAGTGTGAATACACTTATCCATAACGACAACATGGTGTTTGTGTTCATTTACTTATAAAACGAACCCCATTTCAATGGCATCCACGGTGGGATAGGATTGGCTGACTGACCATTGCGAGAGGTACTAACCGTGAGGATCTCACGCCGAGGAGGATCTAGGATCCACCGACGTGTTGTGTAGTGTTTACAGACAGAGACTGTATTGCGCAATCCACTCAACGCTGGACTTTCAGTGAAAGTGACATTCAGTGTATGACCAGTGACATTTCATTTGAACCTTTGTGACTATTTCATTATTGTGATCTTTAGAAGCTTGCAAGCACGGTAAGGTATTTTTATTTTACAATTGTGCTCAAAACACGTGTATTTTTGACTGACAAGTGACAGGCATATTTTTGTTATAAAGTGAAAAGCCTATTATACCCTTCCCGTATATATATACAAGTTTAAATATTATTTATTTCTGAGCAAATTATTGTAGTGTGTGCAAGAAATTAATTCTATTAATCTGATATACCTGGTTTCCACCCCACACTAATTTCTTTTCTCTTGATCAGCTGACCTTGACATTTGTGACCTACATTCAGACTCGAAAGTACAGGTAGTTTGTTTACAGGTGATTTTGAGGTGACTAGTGTGTCTGAGTGAGTCTATTGTTTTGATTTAGATTCATTGGTCTAGTTCTACAGTATTTAGTTGCTTTATTACCCCTTTATCACCCCTATAGTCAACATGTGAATTAGTTTATTTAATACCCAGATTACTGTACATTTCAGTACATATACATAGTAAGGTCACATTACTTTGAGTAATCAGTGTGTTGGTGATTCACCTGTGTCCGTCATTTATTGTTTATACATTGAATTCCTTATCATTATTTTGCTTTACATTATACATTGAATTCTTTATCAATATTTTGCTGTATTGTACCGTTTACATTGATTTCGCGTAATTTTGTTTACATCTGATATTTGACCCCTGGCCGAGAGTTCGTCACGCTTGAGCGCACCCGGTGTACCGAAGAGAGTTATCTTCCTTGAGTAAGTTTGTAGTTAGAGTTATCTTTCATTCTTCAGAACCACAGGCCTTTGGATCGCTTTAAAAAAATTGTGTGTGTAAAAAAAAAATAAAGTACTGAACTCTTTCACTGGGTACCTAATTTCGCTAATAAAATATTTTTTATTCTAATGCTCTAAAATTCTACTTTCTATCCTTTATTTTTTTTCAACACCTCAATTTTTTTTCTAAGCGATCTAAAGGCCTGTGTTCAGAACCATTTAGTTATTTAGAAGGTAGTATTAGATTAAGGTTATATTTATTTAGGATTTAGTTAGTATATTCTTTAAACTTTTATTTATTTATTTCATTTGGTAATTTAATTCATAATTTTATTTCAGCTTATTTAGAAATTTAATTTGAATTTTTTTTTTTCAGGTGAATAATACTTTTGCATTTCAGTGAAATTTAGTGTTACATAGAATTTAATCATGTTAATTAAGTAGATATTTAGAATTTAAGTTTAATTAGTTTAATTAATTAGCTAGATTTAATTATTCGACTTCATCTCGGACTCTTCAGATTGGATTACACATTGGATTCTTCAGCTTCAGAGGATGTAGTCTTAGATTAATTTAGATAATTAAGGTAGATTTAGTTACTAGGTACCTAGCTAGTATTTAGTTATTAAGAAAAATTTATTTGAAAATCAAACAACAAACAACAAATCATCATGTCCGCAGACATTTCACAGGAGGAACTCGATCAAATTGCAAAAGTCTTCAAAGAATTAAAGGTAAAACCAAAAGCTGATACAGCACAGGATTTCAAACAATGGATGACTCAGTATGTTGCACAAATGAATGAGGAGGAATTTGTCAATGTAAAGACAGAACCGCACGCGGATACTGGAACGTCATCAGCATCAGCATCAGGAAGCACCTTCAGTTCCCACATCCCAAAGATCTCTTGCTTTTCTGGAGACGGCAGCAAGAATGACACTACATATGATCTTTGGCGATATGAAGTTGACTGTTTGATCAAGGAGAAGTGCAAGGAGGAGATAATTGCTCAGTCAATTCGAAGATCATTGCGAGGAGATGCAGGAAAGGTTGCTATGAGACTTGGTCCTGGAGCCACTGTAACCCAGATACTTGACAAGATGGAGAGTGTATTTGGTACTATAGAACGAGGAGAGACAATCATGGAACAATTTTACAGTGCGCGACAAGAAAAAGGAGAGGATAGCATGAGTTGGAGTTGTCGTCTAGAGGAGATTTATAGAAAGGCAGTTATCAAAGGAGTTGCAACCAAGGAGGATGCAAATGAGAAGTTGAGATCAAAATTCTGGAATGGTCTTCATCAGTGGATTAAGGATATCACTGGATACAAATTTGATGCATTGACCAATTTTGATGAACTTAGGAAAGAAATCAGACTTGTAGAAAAGGAACATGAAACAAAGAAGGCACAATCCAACATGGCTGTAACTTCAAGTGAAGCTGAGAAAGGAGATGAGATTAAGGAATTTATAGAAATGATTCAACAGCTCACTACAAAAGTCAGTGCCATGGAACAACAGCGTACAAACAGGAAAGATCTTGGAGAATCGTACGGCAGATTTCCACCACCACAGTCCAAAAGAGGAAATGGAGCTGGAAACTTATGCAGAGGACATCCTAATTTCAAAAACTACAGTGGTCCTAGATATCCTCAGGCATACAACTATGATTATTACTATGGATATAACAGCCAGGAATCTGCTCAAACAGAGGATGAAGAACCTATTATATGCTACAAATGCAGACAACCGGGACATATCGCCCGTTATTGTCAAGTGCGAATGGACCATAGTAGAAGGTATTTAAACGTGAGGAGACCTTCGTTGCGGGGCAAACGTTAGGTAAGTACAGGAAAGGCCCTACTAGCAATAGAAATAATGAATTAGTAGGAAATACATCGGAAGTGAAAGCAAGTTTGGAAGGAATTTTAGTTAGAGCGTTAATAGACACCGGATCCACTGTTTCCACAGTTAGTCATGACTTTTATACAAAACAACTTAGTCACTTAGAACTTCATCCTATAAAAGAACTTTTACAAGTGGAATGCGAAGATGGCCAACAGTTACCGTATTACGGATATATCGAGGCTTCCATCAAAAGTAAGGGAATACCACAATCATCGGAGGAACCACTACAATTCCCATTACTTGTAGTATCCACCAGTAACTACAACAGTCGCGTACCACTTCTGATTGGAACGAATATATTACAACACATGCTAGATGGTGTCAAGGACAAATATGGAGATAAATATCTACAAGATGCTGCTTTATTTACACCATGGTATCTCGCATTTAGAGGAATGGCATTACGAGAAAAAGAACTGGCTCGGAACAACAATCGACTTGGGATTATAAAATCAGCCGAAAATCATTGTATTATCTTGTATACCACCAAATTCCACAGTTTCTATTTCTGGATATATTGTCGCTCTGTAATTCCATCAGACCTGGATATTGTACCATCACTAACAGACTATGCCTATCCAGCCAGTCATGTGATAAGAGTGGATATTGATAACATCACTACAAGGACAGTACAAGTTCAACCTAAATCAATCATATGCGAACTACAACCAGTGAAAATCGAACAAAATCAAACAGCTTTACCATGTTCTAGTCTCCAAGAAACTAAAGATATCTTAACTTTTGTGAAGATCGAGCGAGATAAACTTACAGCATCTGAGCAGCAAGGAGCAGAACAATTATTGAGGAAATATGAAGATGTATTCTCGAAGTCAGACATCGACATTGGACACACTAACATCGTGAAACATAGGATCGATTTACATGACGAAACACCATTTAAGCAAAGACCGAGGCGAATACCACCGGCCATGTTTGAAGAGGTCAAAGATCACTTGAGGAAACTACTAGAAGGAGGAATTATCAGGAAGTCGAAGTCACCATGGTCGAGCAATGTTGTCCTTTGTCGCAAGAAAAACAACGAACTACGCATGTGTGTAGATTATCGCCAGCTAAACCTTAGGACAAAGAAAGACTCCTATGCGTTACCAAGGATAGAGGAAATACTGGATGTGTTAGCAGGAAATAGATTCTTTACCATCTTGGATATGAAAAGTGGGTACCATCAGGTTGAGTTACATGAGAGTCACAAGGAAAGAACTGTGTTTACTGTTGGACCCTTAGGCTTTTATGAATACCATCGCATGCCATTCGGTCTAGTCAACGCACCTGCTACATACCAAAGGCTTATGGAGGAATGTTTTGAAGGGCTCCACCTGGATATATGCTTCATCTATTTGGATGACTTGATAATCTTCTCCAAGACATACGATGAGCATTTAGAACGTTTGGAAAAGATCTTTCAACGACTAAGGGAAGTAAATCTTAAACTATCACCGAAGAAGTGCGAATTCTTCAAGAGCAAAGTGA